CCCCAAAACCCCAAAACCCCATAAGAACTTAGATATTAATATTATAAAGCAAATTATTGCATAATTATAAATAATTAATAAAATGAGTGAAAGTGAGGGTCAATACTAGCTTTTCGGTATTTTAGGTAAGCTCAATATTCATAAATATAATTTTATTTAGGAAGAAACAGCATCTTCATGGTAACACAATGTGATAACGATAGACATTGGAGAAGAATGCTCGGAGTTAACAATGAGAGATATTAGAAATCTTCTACTCATCCATTTGATGAATGTGATAATGCCTACATCAAGCCAATGAAACCAGTTCAATTAGACTTGCTCAACAATCTCTTCAAGAAGAGCGACTTCGAATGAAGATGTAAATCTAGAAGATTTCGAAGTATTCTAATCTCTTCAATGTGATGGAGACTTATTTAAACTAAATTTTAAAAACTTAACCATTAGCCATAAATTTTAATCCTAATACAGGCTTTAATTTAAAGAGTCTTAATTAATTAATGGTTCATTCCTTGATTTAAGTCTAAATTAGTTATAAATATAATCACAACTCTTTCTCGTGAAAACCCATTTCAAAGATTGGACTTTGAAGAGGTTATTCATAATTTTATTCGATGATTTTACAATGATTGAGGAAAGATAGCTGATCTGATTTAATCTATCATTATTTCATACTTATACTCTTATTATATTGAAGTTATTTTGAATGCTATCTCAATGCTGCTTTTACAATTGTTATTATTAGAGTCCCCCAATTGCAGATCTTTTAATTTGAGAGACGATATGGCTAATTTGATTTTAATTTATTCCAGTAGTTTTAACTATATTTACACTGTTGCTTGGACCTATGCTATAACTACTTTCAGTTTTGCTATTTTTCCTGCCTTAATTGGCGCTTTAATTTTCATTATTGTTTTAAGCCCAATTAGTGCTGGTTTAATTTTAGTTATTCACTCCACTACTGTCTCTTACTATTTGATTGTGATGATAAGTTTTATTCATATTCTAAGTGGTTATATTAGTAGATTAGCGATAGAAAGATTAGTTTTATTTCTTCTAATTCTTCATCTTCTCATCTGCGATCAGCGGTTTTTATTCACCTATGATTTAGCCATCAAATGTTTAGCCGTACATATCATTTTGCAGCTTTTACTTAACAAAATGGAATTCCTGAATCTCACTTTACAGTGCCATTGATTAGCGAACATTTGTATTGAATTGCTATAAGATTTAATTTTTCTCAGAATTATTGTTTTCCACTATATGGCTCCTACCATTCCTATTAGTGTGACTTCCTCCTTGAGTACTTATAGTGTGACTTTGCTGCTTTGAAGCCACAAGTCCTGAAATGTTAAGGACTTAGCCTAATTGATTATTTGTTCGACTATTATTTTAGTTCTCTCTTTTTAGATCCTTCAATAGTTAACTTGCAATAATATCCTATAGCTTCGAATCTTTGTTCTATTTATGACTCATTGACTACTAGATGAGCTGAGAGCCAGATGATCTTTTCTCAGGCTGCTTTTGATCAATGCTATTTTGATTAAAACTGTATTCTACGTAGCTTTAGTTGAGAGTATCTGGCAATAGCTATCTTGGTCCATAGTTACTAATAAGAGGCAACTTTATTTGCTCAAATTTGTTCTATAATGCTGATTGCTAAGGTTAGGGGAAAATTGCTTGCAAATCATAGTCATTTTCTTACTTTCCTATTATCTTTTGCTATTTCAATAAATTTTCTGTTTTATTTCTCTTTTGGGTTGGCGACACGAAATTTCCTTACTTTTTGTTAATAAAATTTTTCTTAAAGATGAACTTGCTAGTTATTGCACTAACTATGTTAGTTGATGTTGTGCTAATAGATTTTTGATTTGGTGCTTAATAACTATGAACTAAGCCGCTTCTACGATTTTAGTCTACATTCCTTGACTAATTATAGCTGTCTTATTACTAATGTTTAATTGAATGAGAGTACTCATTGATGTTAAAGATTTGAGTTCTCAGCTTAGAGTTACTCTATTGATGAGAATCTAAAGGCATATCATTCTCTTAAATATCTGATAGTATCCTCTTCTATCTAAAGTCTCCTTTCATCTTGGAATTACCTTTGAGAGAGCCATTGATAATATCTTAGAACTATATAAGATTCTGGGGAACTGCTACTTTACTAATGATCTATGGATCTTATATTCTTTAGGATTCATTACTAAAGGTTTAATTAACCTAATCTAATAGCGATTAATTTATGTAATTCTTGCTAGTAAATAGTTCTGACTTTCGACGACTTTATTTCCTAAATGGAGATGCGGTTTTCTGCATATTTTAATAAGGCTTTTAATCTTCAATCTCATCTTCATAAGTATCTTAAGTTGGAAAATTTGTTTTAAATGATGATAGTTTTCTTCTCTAGTTTAAACTTCTGTTTACGTTCGATAATTGAGAATGATTCAGTTTCTAAGATTGAGATGGATCTTATCCTCGCTCACCTTTACTGGTGAGATCCTTGTCATGTTGCTTCTATATAAAGCTCCTCTCTGATGTGGGATTAATCAAAGATTACGTCATAAGTTAGATCTATTTCTTAGGACTCTCTATTACTTCTGTAAATAAATGTGAATCATCATCTTCATGCGACTTCTGATCTTTAAACTTTCTACCAGTCTTCTATTCTTTTCTTTATTAACTCTGATACTTCATGTAAGTAAACTACTAGGCCTTAGCCTTTTTAGTAGACATTTTTTCTGGGGTGGCCTGCACAATAGTCGGACTGATACTTCTTCCATTATTAGTAAAAGTGAAGTTTGATATCCTGTTTTAAAAATTATCACTTTTCTTGCTTGAATCCACTCCAGTGAGATTAGTGATGTTGAGTTGAATTTACTCAACTTAGGTATCAACAGACGCTTCTTCATCACTTGAGCAGAATCTACTGGGGCTATTACCTAATGTAATAAAATCTTCATCGTCCTTGAAAGTACCTTGCTTTTTAAGGCTCATTTATTGATGCCAACTATCGATCTTTTTGCTAACCTTCAAACACTTTTATTTGTAGAACTTCATGTCTTCTTCACTCTCAACATTCGACCTTTCATACCTTTTACTTTGATTCTATTGATTAATCATTGACATGAAGAAGAGTAGTACCATTTTCTTCTTCAAAACCTGCTCATACTCAAAGTTATGTATATGCTCGACAAGTCTGATCGGTATATTAGCTTCATTCTTTCTTGTGATCCAAGGATGCTGTAATGCCTCCTTAGCGGTATATCTTTAATGAGACTAAATTTTTGTTAGCCTTTAAAATAGATTTTTAGCGAGCCACGAGAAATCATTTGGTGCTTCTAGACTATCTAAGTCCTTAAGCTTGCGTTTATAAGAATCGCATGTGTCATATTCTTCATTAAATAGAGGATGCTTTCCTCCAGTTAATATAACATGCATCATGATGCCAATCGACCATACATCCACACATTTTGTGTAAACTTAATTCAGAGCAACTTCAGGCGCCATATATATTAAGGTGCCACAATGTACATCCATTGATCCAGAACTGAATTAATACTTCGCACTGAGACCGAAATCACAAACTTTGCAAGTACTCATATCTGATTTGTTTTGTATTAGGATATTATCTAGATAATTCAAATTTGTATAAGAATTACCTGGCTTAAGATCTCGATGCACAATGTTCTGCTCATGCATATAAGAAACAGCTCTAAGAATCCCTCTCATCAATGCACTTGCTTCATTATCAGTAAATTTCATATTATTTTCTTGTTTCTCTCTGATTATATCAGTAAGTCTACCATCCTTTACTAGTTCCATGCCTAGAAAGAGTTTCCCTTTTATTTCATGAATCTAAATGAGATAATATTCAATCTTATTCTCTTAAGTAAAGACTTACATGTTTATATTTTACTATGTTATGATGGTCGAGTTACTACAAAAGCTCACTTTCTAGGATCATCCTATCAAAATCTTCTTAGCTAACTTATTTTCGTTTTATAATCTAAGCATGTACTTTATAATAGGGATATGTTACCTTTACTGCAATGAGTTCTTAGGTGGGTTTATATATTGCTTTGAAAACCTTACAAAATGCACCTTCACCAAGCATTTCCTTGAATTCATATATTAAATTCTTGTCTCTGATTCCTGTCCCAATATTATCATTATCTTGATTAATCCTTAGTTTTGAGATAATATCCTTCTTCTTAGTAAGTTTAGAGGAATTTGAGAAATATTCATCAGCCATTTTCACAATTTACAATGCGTCTATACTCCTTTTATAATTATAAATCTCTTTAAAATATAAATTTTCTATTTATTAAATCGCTACTTTACACATTCTTACGGGGTTTTGGGGTTTTGGGGAGATCGGAAGAGCGTC